ATAAGCCAACAGCCAACATCAAACTAAATGAAAAGAAACTCAAAGTGATCCTACTGAAATCAGGAACAAGACAAGGTTGTCTATTCTCTCCATATCTGTTCAATAAAGTTCTTGAGGTCCTAGCTAGAGCAATAAGACACCAAAAGGAGATCAAGGGGATACAAATCGGAAAAGAAGTCAAACTCTCACTGTTTGCTGTTGATATGCTAGTTTATTTAATCGACCCCAAAAATTCTACCAAGGAACTTCTACGACTCAAACACTTTCAGTAATATGGCATGATACAAGATTAACTTAAAAAAAAATCAGTTGGTATAGGAGGTCCTTTTTTCTATGTGTTGCTTATATTGGTTAATGAATAAAGAAACTGCCTTGGCCTGATAGGGGCAGAACTTAGGTAGCTGAGAAGACAGAACTGAATGCTGGGAGAAAGAAAGCAGAGTCAGAGAAAGCAGCTATGGATCCTCTGCCTGAGACAGACACCGGTTAGAATTTTACCTGGTAAGCCACTGCCATGTGGTTAATAGAAATGGGTTAAATCAAGATGTGAGAGTTAGCCAATAAGAGGCTAGAGCTAATGGGCCAAGCAGTAATTTAATACATTTTTTGTTGGTTATTTCGGGGCTGAGCTAGCAGGGCGGCTGGGATGAACAAGCAGGCCCTCCATGCAACAATCAGTAACCCTCCTGTACACAGATGATAAAAGGGCTGGGAAAGAAAGCGAGAAACAACACCCTTCATAATAGCCACAAATAGCATAAAATATCTTGGAGTAACTCTAACCAAACAAGTGGAAGACTTATATGACAAAAACTTTAAATCTTTGAAGATGTTGAAGAAGACACTAGAAAATGGAAAGATTTCCCATGCTCTTGGGTAGATAGAATTAACATAGTAAAAATGGCACTCTCAGCAAAAGCAATCTACAGATTCAATGCAATGCCCATCAAAATCTGAGCAAAATTCTTCACAGACCTTGAAAGAACAATGCTCTACTTCATATGGAAAAGAAAAAAAAAACAGTCCTGTACAATATAAAGGAACTTATGGAGGCATCACAATTCCTGGCTTCAAACTCCACTACAGACCTGCAGGACTGAAAACAGCCGGGTATTGGCATAAAAACAGACAGGAAGACCAATGGAACTGAATCGAAGACCCAGATACCAATCCATACACCTAAGATCACCTGATTTTTGACCAAAAGGCAAACAATATACAATGGAAAAAAAGAAAGCATATTCAATAAATGGTGCTGGCATAACTGGATATCAACATATAGAAAAACGAAAATAGATCCATATCTATCGCCATGCACAAAACTCAAGTCTAAATGGATCAAAGACCTCAACATAAAGCCAATCACACTGAAGGTCTTAGAAGAGAGAGTGAAAGTATACTTGAACACATTGGCACAGGAGACCACTTTCTAAATATAACCCCTGTAGCACAGACACTGAGAGGAAAAAATTAATAAATGGGACCTCCTGAAACTGAAAAGCTTCTGTAAAGAAAAGGACACGATCAACAAGACAAAACGAAGCTTACAGAATGGAAAAAGATTTTCACCAACCTCACATCAGACAGGACTCATCTCCAAAATATACAAAGAACTCAATAAATTGGTCATCAAAAGAACAAATAATCCAATTTAAAAAATGGGGTAAACAGACTTAAACAGAGAACTCTCAACAGAGGAATCTAAAATGGGTGTAAGACACTTAAGGAAATGCTCAATATCCTTAGCCATTGAAGAAATGCAAATCAAGTAACTCAAATTTTATCTTACACCTGTAAGAGTGGCCAAGATCAAAAACACTGATGACATCTTACGCTGGAGAGGTTGTGGGGTAAAGGGAACAGTTCTGCATTGCTGTTGGGAGTGCTAACTGGTACAGCCACTTTGGATATCAGTATGGTGTTTTCTTAGAAAATTAGGACCTAGCAATGCCAGTTTTGGGTATATACCCAAAGGATGCTCAATTATACGACAAGGATATGTTCTCAACAATGTTCATAGCAGCATTGTTGGTCACAGACAGAACCCGAAAACAACCTAAATGCCCCTTGACCAAAGAACGGTTAAGGAAAATGTGGTATATTTATACAATATATTACTACACAGCAGAAAAAGATAATGACATCTTGAAATTTGTGGGCAAATGGATGGATCTAGATCACATCATTTTGAGTGAGGTTATCAGAACCAGAAAGACAAATATCATATATACTCACTCATAAGTGACTTTTAGACATAAGCAAAGAAGAACCAGCCTACAATTCATAATCCCAGAGAACCTAGACAACAATAAGGACCCTAAGAGAGACATACATGGATCTAAGCTACATGGGAAGCAGAAAAAGAGATCTCCTGAGTAAACTGGGAGCATGGAGACAATGGGCGAGGGTATAACGGGAGGCAAGAGGATAGGAGGCTAATTGAGAAAAATATATAGTTCAATAAAAAGAATAATTTAAAAAAACGAGGATATGAGTCTGGCAGGAGATGCATTGAGGTAGTGGGGAATGGATATGATCAGAAGGCATTGTACATATGTATGAAAACTTAAAAGAATAAATAAAGCATATCATTTAAAATATATTTTAAAAGCAAAACAAAATAAAATATATCACTATACTGTAACACAGCCTGGGGCCGCATGTGTCCCACACAGCTATGAGTGGCCCAACACAAAATTTGTAAACTTACATATACACAAAGAACCCGGTTTCCTACCACAGAGACATCCGTGCCCCTATATTTATCACTGTAGCTAGGAAATGGAACCAACCTAGTTGAACAGATGCATGGTTAATGAAAGTATGTTACAGATATTATGTAGAATATTATTCAACTCTAAAGAAAAGGAAATTTGCAGGAAAATGTGTAGACTTATATAATATTAAATATGATCAGCCAATCAGAAAAAAATAGCATTTTTCCCTCTTGTTAATTCTTTTTCTTCTTTTTTTTAAAATATTTATTTATTTATTATGCGTACAGTATTCTGTTTGTGTATGTGTCTGCAGGCCAGAAGAGGGCACCAGATCTCATAGATGGTTGTGAGCCAACATGTGGTTGTTGGGAATTGAACTCAGGACCTCTGGAAGAGCAGGCAGTGCTCCTAACCTCTGAGCCATCTCTCCAGCCCCCCTCTTGTTAATTCTTGAGCATGAACTTTGAATATGACAGCATCATGTCACAAATTCAGAGGGTAGACATCCCTGGTTGGCACATTTACTTTTGCTTTGGATTAAAAGTCTTTTATAAAAATTTAAATTTGCTTAACCTGCAACCTAAATGTTAAAGTTGGTTGAACCATTGGAAGAAGACGTTAGTCTCAAGGAGTCTAGAAAAGCATTGCTTTGTTTTGTTTCATTCATTCAAATGGTCATTCATTGATTAATATTTGGTGAATTGAGAAAATTAGCGGTGAGAACAAGTGCTCTGCCAGGAAACTCATTAGTTAAGCAATATTTTAATATTAGGTACGGTGTAATAAGTTATTCAAGTTTTATGTCACCTTTATTTTGCCATCCCACCCAGTGGTGCTAGGTGTCAAACCAGAGGACTTGTGTGTGCTGGGCAAGCACTCTGTCACTGATATATAGCCCCACCTCAAGTTGTTCATCCCTGTATATTTTATAATCATACCTAATTCAGATTCCACTGGGTTAGGTAAAAGAACGTCCAAGTAAATGTCAATTAAAGAATAGCTTTTATAGTTGAATACTTAAATAAAGCTTCTTTATCTCATCTGTAAACTTTAACACTGACTTGTGGTACATTTCTGCTTTTGTCACGCTTGACATGGCAGTCCCAGTTCACTGAGTTAGTGTCTGCTTGTGCCGCTGGTACCTACTCACTTATGGTTCCTCAGTGGTTAAGAGTGCCTGTTGCTCTTCCAGAAGACCCGGGTTCAGTTCCCAGCACCCACATGGCAAACCAAAACAGTCTGTAACTCCAGTTCCAGGAGATCCAATGCTCCTTCTGGCCTTTGAGGGCACCTGACACGCACAAGGTGTATATACATCCATGGTAACAAAACACATGCATAAGATAAGATAAATCCTAAAAAAAAGACAAGTATCCTGAGAATTATCTGTGTGTGCTGGTTTTGTTGGTTTTGCATATTTCTGTTGTATTGCTGGGGTTTGACCCCAGGGCCCTTCTGTATGTATTAAACACTCTCACTAAGCTGTATCCACAGCCCCTTGCCCCCATTTTCTAGTTTTTAGTGCTAAACCGAGTAGCATAAAGTTGGACAAAGGCTTAAAAATAAGAGATTCCAGACCCACAATGAGGTAGTACAGCAGGTAAAGGCACTTGTACAGAGCCTTGTGTGGATTCATTGCCACCACCCATCATGGTAAAAGGAAAGAAATGACTTCAGAGGTTGTCCTCTGACTTCCACATGAAGGTCATGATGTGAATGCCCTCCAATAAGGAATGGGTGCCTAAATAAATGGGAGAATGTAATTTAAAAAGTAAGAGGCTTCTCTTCAGAGTTTTTTGTTCTGTTTTGTTTTGTTTTTCGAGACAGGGTTTCTCTGTAGGCTTTGGAGCTTGTAGACCAGGTTGGCCTCAGACTCACAGAGATCCACCTGCCTCTGCCTCCGCCTCCCAAGTGCTGGGATTAAGGTGTGTGCCACCACCGCCTGGGTCTCTTCAGAGTTTTGATTCATTTGCAGATAGGCTGCTCTAATAGGAAGAAGGGTGGATCTAAACAGTCTAGGTGTAAATCCTAAGGCACACACTCCAAAATGTGGCTCTCATCAAATCCAAGTGTATTTTGTGGCATTCCCTAGCCATTCTTATGATAAAACCTCATTAAAGGAGTAACAGTTCTCTAACTTTACCATCTCCTAATGGTTGATGTTACTAAACTTCCCACAAGATGGCAGACCAGACCCCCTTTTCACGTGCTAGATGTCAACCAGCTTTAAAACACCTTGCTCATGCCCTTGATAACTCCTCAAACTTTTTTCTGTTGTTTTAGGTGGGCAGTATCCAACCGAGAAATGCTCATAGCCCAGAACAGCTCCTTGGAATTTAAGCTACACCGACTCTACTTTATTAGCTTGTTAATGGGTGGAACTACAAATCAGCGAGAAGCCTTACAGTATGCGAAAAATTTCCAGCCATTTGCTTTAAATCATCAAAAAGGTGAGTCTGGAGTCAGACCTGTTTTCCTTTGTACTTTGGGGAGGGAGCCTGCACAGTGTAGGGAGAGTACAAGGAACTGAGACAGTCTCTCAGTAGTCCAAGCTGGTCTCACACTGATTCTCCTGTGTCAGCCTCCAGAATGCTGGGAATACAGAGGAGCGCCAGTAGCCATCAGTTGTGTCTGCCATACACATTTGCTAACGAATAAAATTGTTGGGATAGTTGTAATGCAAACATTGCACACTGATACTAGAGCAGCAGTACAGCCTTGAAGCCAGAGACATTGCAGAGTAGGGATTCCTTAATTTAAGAACACTGGCAAGACCAAGGTGTGGCATGCTCCTTGGACACTCCTGTATCACCATGTGCTGCTTTCACTTGTCAGTGTGGTGAGTATGGCTGCTACTTCACCAAACATGTGATAGTGTAAGACTAGGAATTCCAAATTCAGTATTTCCACAGCTTCCTTTTTCTCATCCTCTCTCATACTGTGTCCTTAGTTTTAGGGGAGGGACTTGGCAACCAAGATTAGGGACCAACATGTTTGCATTATTTTAGGATACGCTACATGGGCTGGAATGTTCTTAACTTTCCCAGCTGATTGTTGACAAGTATATGCTATTTCATTCCTCCACTGTGCTGATGCTTTTTCTTTTAGATATTCAGGTATTGATGGGAAGCCTCGTGTACCTGAGACAAGGGATTGAGAATTCACCATATGTTCACCTACTTGATGCAAATCAGTGGGCTGACATCTGTGACATCTTTACACGGGATGCTTGTGCCCTCCTGGGGCTCTCTGTGGAGTCTCCTCTCAGTGTCAGGTGCAGTAATGGCCCTGCTTGCTCTGAAATGGGCGCTGTATTGGGCATCTTTTCTTGTTGCCTTTATGATTAAACAAGTAGGCAAGTAGATTGTGTTGTCTTTCTGCAGAAGGGTACAGTGCTTGCCATAGTTGGCAGTGACACAGTTTTAAGGCAGCTGCTCTCCAAGTGTGTTCTGGGAGCCAGTGTAGTCCAGAACCCTTTTTCCACTGCTTACCTTTGCACAGATGAGGGTCTGTGTTGTCGGGCCTTGACACTGGCCTATCCTTACTAGTCTGCTGACTGCCTATGAAATGCTTGTTGAGCTCCACAGTGCCTTGGGTAGGCAGTAAATACTTGGTTTAAGTTGACATTTGTATCTACATCTTTTAGTATTCTGTGTGACAAAATATTGCATTTGTATAAAACACTTAGTTTCATGCTTCAGGGTGATTATTGAGACAAAGTACCTGTATATTGAGTTATGAATTGTCTTGTTACAAAATACGGTTTTTGTTGTAGCATATTACTTTAACAATGTAAAGACATGTTACATTTGTTTGTGCTGCATTTGCTTAGCTATGTAAAGATGTGTTACATTTGTTTCTCCTTGTCTACCTAAGGTACCTGGTTGATCTAATTAAAAGCTGAGCAGCCATAGCTATACAGTAGAGTGATAGGCAGAGAGGATCAGTAGGAGGTGGAATCTAGGTTTAAGAGAGAAGAGAGAACAAGATTGAAAAAGAGGGAGATGTACAGGGTTAGCCAGGCAGCCGCAAAGCTCTCAGACATAGAGGAAGCAGTGAAAGTAGGACATAGAGAATGAAAGAAAGGTAAGAAAGCCCCAAGGCAAATGGTAGATGAATAGAAACAGGTTACAATGAGTTACAAGAGTTAGTGGGACAACCATACATGAGCTAAGGGCAAGTGTTCATAACTGATAATAAGTCTCCATGTCATGATTTGGGAGCTGCTTGGTAGCCCAAAAGAAAGCCTGCTATAGTTTTTACTTGGAATAATTTGCAACTGACATGCCAATATAGTATGTTTATTATGATGATTTTAATTGGTATGTTTTAATTTCTAACATTAAGTGATGTCATCCACAAAACCAAAACCACAGTTATTTACATTCTGGATTTTACAGTTATTTTTCCAGTGAATGAAGTAAGCTTGTCACATTAAAGGAAGCAAGTGATGCCAAATGTTTGTATCTTTTGACACAATGATGAAGGTTAAGTTGAAAGTTTGGTTATGAATTTGTAAAGACTTTTCTGATGAGTTTGGTGATGTGATTGTAGTTTGGTGTGTGTGGTTTTTTTTTTTTTTTTTAAATGTTGTACGCTGGAGGGAAAACTGGAAGGTTTAATTCGTATGACCTTACAGAATCATACTTACAGAGCCAGGCTCAGAAGTGTGAAGGCACAAGCCACCGTGATGGGAGGCACATCAGCACTGGTTCTTGTTCCTTCCCTCTTTTGAGCTGATGGATGGGGTTGATGCTTAGAATGGTGGCCCCTCCCTTTCAGCACTGAGTGCCAGAGCTGCCTCTCTTTTGATAGGGTGGAACCAGTTATTCTTTTTTTTTCTAGTTGCTGAGGAATTAAATGAAAATTAAACCATCCAATCATAAAACAATTTTGCTTTTTTTTTCTTCCAATTTCTCCCATTCTGGCTAGGCTTATGGTAGCCCTAGGGTTTTATGTTTTGTTTGTAAAAGGGATTTTTTGTTCCAATAACTACAGGAAATATAACTGAGAGCTGGGAGCAGGAGGATGAGGGAGAAAATCAGTTTTTCTTTTAGAGGAAAGAGTTGCCAGGGTCTGTGTTTGGGGGTTGGCACCTTTGGGGATTGGCACTGATCTTCCTCCTCTGCCCTCAGTTTCTCGGCAGGGTGTGTGGCGCTGCCCGCGCTAATTAACATCAAAGCTGTGATCGAGCAGAGACAGTGCACTGGAGTCTGGAACCAGAAAGACGAATTACCTGTGAGTTCTGTTGACAATTTATTTACCCTTCCCTCCTTAGAAGATGGGCGTTTTAAGAGTTAAAAGTGGTCATCATGCCATTTAATCAGGAAACACTATTGTAGCCATTCAGCAGGTTTGTTTTTGTTTGTTTAAATGCACGTAATGTGCGTGATGAATATGGTTGGGAATGTAGCTTTGGATCCAGCACCACTCTCAAAAGGAAAATTAGTTTAACTAATTAAAATTAAACTAGGCATGAGGGAGTAATGATACACACTGATTCCAGCACTCAGGAGGCGCAGAGATAGGCAGATCTTTGAGTTTGAGTCCAGTCTGGCCCACATAATGAGTTCCAAGGCAGCCAGGGCATCACAGTTGAGACTCCGTCTCAACAACAACAAAAGCCAAAATAAGAAAATAGATATGTAGGACATAGAATCTTTTTGGAGACACTGGAGGAGTGTATCCAAAATTTTGACTTCAAGTTTCAGTTGCAAGCTGATGAACGCAGTCCTTAGAAGTGGGAGAGTTGTGTTTTCTAGTAAGCTCACTTATGGGCAGCAGTTTATCTGTAAAAAGAGGGCCCCTTCTCTTTATGGGCTACAGAAGCCTAGAGGCGGCAGGCACACTGTGCGGAGTTTATTTTATGTGTTCCTCTGACAGAGGATACTAAGACTCTAACTTAAAGTTACGTTTCTGACGCAGTTGTGTCCAGACCCTGGAGGACTGAATTAAGCCTTTGGTGTTGGCTTCTTCTTTGCCACACCTGCACATAGGTTTGTCTGCAGTTCCTTTGTCCTTCCAGCTGTAAGCCTGTCAGTTGGTTGCATCAAATTTTAAGAGCTTGGCCGGGCGGTGGTGGCGCACGCCTGTAATCCCAGCACTCGGGAGGCAGAGGCAGGCGGATCTCTGTGAGTTCGAGACCAGCCTGGTCTACAGAGCTAGTTCCAGGACAGGATCCAAAACCACAGAGAAACCTTGTCTCGAAAAAACCAAAAAAAAAAAAAAATTTTAAGAGCTTGTTGAAGATGGTTTGTGATTGAAGGCACAGGTGTCCTCCCAATGCTCCATGTGGTCAGGACAGAAGCAGCGTTCTACCCTGCTGCTGGAACAAAGGAAAAAAACACAATGCCGTGACAAGATTCCCAGCACTGGCAGTTTTATGGTCATGCTGTGAGCATCTTTGAGACTTGCACACTGAAGTAGAGCAACCAGTAGGATCCCAACTGGAAGTGTGCACTTAGGGCTAGGGAAGCAACAGGGGGTAGTGGCTGGTAATTTTTCCTCATGATGGCTTTGATGTACTTTGTCCTCTTTTTTCTTTTTTATTCTTACTGTGTGTCCACTCCTACTGTATGTCCAGTTTAGGATTCCTCTGATCCTCCTGGGTACTGGGTTTATAGGTCTCTTCTACCATTTTTGCAGTGCTGTAGTTTGTACTCAGGTCCCTGTGAATACTAAACTCCATCCCCTACTCTTTGTCAGTTTTTCCTTAAAGAACTTTATTAATAGGTCTATTTTAATTGTGTTTATTTTTTTTGAGTCAGTGTGTCTCTGTGTCCATGGCTGGCAAGGAACTCAAACTCAACTCCCCTTTCTCTGCTGGGATTAGCTGTGTGCCACCACACCTGGCAGTAATGACCGTTTAGAATGGTAACTATTACAGAGTGAGAAGGAAGGGGAACTGGAAATTCGTGTGAAGCAGCTGCTCTGCTAGATGACTTCAAGCTTTTATATGATTTGATATGTTTGTGGCAAAAACGTAATGGTGATACTATGCAATGAGTTTTAATACACAAATCACAAAAGATCCTGTTGAGATTTAGCTTAAGCTGGTACTGGTGGTACAAGCCTGTACTTCCAGGTACTTTGGAAGCTGAGGCAGGGGTATCTCATATCTCAAGTTCAAGGCCTGCTTAGACAATTCACTGAGATCCTATCTCAAGAATTTTAAAAAAAAGGCATTTGCATAAAGGAGGGGGCGAGGGGTAGGGTGAAGTGCTGGCTTAAAGCTGCCTGCCCACGGGCAGAGCCCTGCATTGGATTTCCCACCACTTCAACAACAACAGAAGAAAAAAAAAAAAAAAACAGAAAAGGAAAGGGGGGAGGATAGACAAAACTTGCCTTACCTCCCTGTTTCAGGTTTTCTCTGAAGCTTAGATCCGAGGCTCACACAGAGGACAGCTGTATGTAGACTGCCCTTGGAGGGTTGTGGCGCTGTATTTACCACCTCACTTAGTGCTGTCTGCAGAACAGTCAGGGTATGGCAAGCCTGTGGTTACATTCTGATAAATTTTCAAGGTGTTTAGTCCAGGGATGTGGCTTAGTGGTTGGTCACTTATGGACCAGGCTTTGAGTTTGCTGCCTGGTACCATTGAAAAATGGTGTTAGCTTCTGAAGCATTGTGTTTGATTCCCTAACACCTCAGAATCTGGTTTACAAAGTAGTAGTGTAGTTTTGCAGACTAGTTTACCTCAACTTGAATCCTAAGGCTTCCCTTTCTTTGAGACAGTTCCACAGATTCGCTTCAAACAGAAGGGCTTGCTGCACAATAGGTGGTAATGTGGATGGCTTTCAGGGATTAACTAGCCTTTCTGCATTTTCTTTTTCTAACAGATTGAAGTGGACCTTGGTAAAAAGTGCTGGTATCACTCCATATTTGCCTGCCCCATTCTTCGTCAGCAAACAACAGATAACAATCCACCCATGAAATTGGTTTGTGGTCATATTATATCAAGAGATGCCCTGAATAAAATGTTTAATGGTAGCAAGTAAGTGTCTGATTTCTTAAGCATTAAATACATACCTTTTTGCATGAAGATGTAATAAGGATAAGCAAATTATGAATTATGCATTTATTTAGTTTTTCATTTGTTTGTTTGTTTTTGTTTTTTGAGACAAGGTTTCTTCGTATAGCTCTGGCTGATCTATAAGATCAAGCCAGCATCAAATTTAGATATCTGTCTGCCCATGCCTCCCAAGTGTTGGCATTAAATGAGTGCGGCACCATGCTCAGCCCATAACTAGATTCAGAAATTAGTTTCTTAACTATTCATCGAAAGTAGCTAACATCTAATCTGTTTGGTTAGTTTAATCTGCTCAAGGGTTTGGTGATTAGAGTTATAAATGTAGTCTGATTCCCTCTAAGGTCTTAAGAGTCATGGACTAAATATACCCTTTTCCTTTCTGTGGTTTGCCTTTCTCAGTTAGGGATTTATTTTGGAGTCTTTTTATATGCTGCAAAAGAGCCATTTGTTATTGTTAAAGTTACCAGAATAGCATGGTATGATTGTACATGCTTATAGTCCCAGCATTTGAGTAGCAGAGGCAAGAGGATCTAGAGAGTTCAAGATCATCTTCAACTACATAGCAAGTTGGAGGGGCCATCCTGAGCTACGTGAGATTGTTTCAGCCTACTTCCTGCCTTCATCCCCCAGAAATGTAGGCTACTCTGCAATATGGGATATAATTATTTAGTTGGCTTCCTATTGATGAATACAGTGCCAGTGTGTGTTCTCCACATGTGATAAATTCCTGCCATTGTGATCATGGTTCTAAGTACATAGACTGAAGGCATATTTGACCGGTGCGCTAGAATTAACCAGACCAGCTCAAAAATAACAATATAATTTAATAATTGGAAACAGGGAAAACTCACACAACCAGGGTAAAAGTTCCGATGTCCAAAACACCACGCAAAGAGAGAGAGTGCACCTGTATTCCCAGGTTTTTCTTCCCTGGCCCCAGGCGGCCACACTCTAGCCAAATGTGATTGGCTGAGCTTCCCCATCAATAGACATTGGTAATTTTTATAGATAATGAGCCCAACTTAAAAAAAAAAGTCTCAAAGGTATTCTGGCCTAAGCAGTTACAGAAGTCTTCACTGGTGTTGATTCTGGGCCATGGTGGGCAGACCCTTTCCTGGGAGGGCTCCTGCTTGAACGAAACTGTTTCTGCCCTTCCCAGACCACACAGAAACCCTGACAGTGCAGATCACTGGTGACCTGCAGTGTTCTTTGTCACTGGCTGTGTGGGCTGTTCCTGCTGCAGGTTTGGCAGCTCACAACTTATCTGCTGTCCTTGAATAGATTATACAGTTCACACATTTGAAATTCAGTTAGGGGCAGGTGCAGTGTAAACCTTGGTGGGCTTAGGTTAGATTTACTTCTGAAATTAAGGAATCAGTTTTCAGAAAATTGTCTTTGTTTCACCTACAAAACAATTTTCACCAGTGACTAAGTATTGAAGAGGCTTTCAGGTGAAGATCTGACTGAGGTTTATTTTCCGTGACCCTTCAAAGCGTGGTTGGCAGTTACATTAAGGGGGCGTAATTAATCCTCCAGGCAAAATAAACACATAAGGTGTGCTTCTTCTGCACATGTGGTACCTAAGTGCTCGGTGCTGAGCTTGTTCCTTGACTCATTCTTTTCTCTCTTATGTTTAGATTAAAATGTCCATATTGCCCAATGGAACAAAGTCCAGGAGATGCCAAGCAGATATTTTTCTGAAGAAATGAGTTTGTTTGCAATTTGTAAGTGAAACTGAATTATGGGTACATTCGAGACGAGCGACCATTGACTGCAGCTATCCAAGGACTGCCGGGTTTATAAGCTGTGCTCCAGAAGCTACTGACATGCTAGTGTGCACGAGGGCGTGCTTCAGATGGTGTTCCATAGGGCTTTTATCACTCTTGGTCTCCGTTTCTGATCAAGTAAACACACCAGCAGTTGCCATTCAGTGCAGGTTTTGTACTTACTATATGGTGATTTTGTTACTTAAAAGCAGAAACAGAAGTTGACCTTCCTGACTTGTGTTTAATATTCCTGCTTTTACTTCTGTCATTTTCTTGATAATTGTAAGCTTGAGCGTGTTTGTGGAAGAACTTTTTTTCTTGTTATATATACATAATTAAATGAAAATTCTTTATAGGAGTTTGACAAAGTGAATTGTGGTTATACAACGAATTTGCTTTTTTGTTTCATCTTTCTTTTTGGCTTAAGGAAGAAAGCTGTGATAAATTCCAGATTTGTGTTTTGCTTTTTGATTTTTTTCTCTGCCCTAGCTCTTGCTTCAAAGTCAGCACGCTTGCATTTGAGTTCTGTCTGTAGCCCCAGCAGGCTTCCTATTTAAAATCCCATCATGAATTTAGCCGGCAGATGTGAGAATGAAAGGGATATTACTGGGGCTTTGCTTTTATTACCAAGAGGTGCTTTTTAAAAAGTATATTTAATAAATGGAATTCCGAAGTAAGGGTGTTACTAAGTTGATACATGCTCTCTCGGTCTTAGCACCCCGTCCTTTGAAATCTGCCTTCAAGTCTTGGCTGGGTATCACATTAGTTGTTCTCACAGACACACAGTGTTGTGCATGTGGCTATAAATATGTACACCAGCATCAAATACTGTATATGTGGAAGGGAAAAAGCATGTTCCAGTTCAAGTGCAGTTGCCAGAGTCATCACTTCAGGTCATTGAGGGTAGACGCTAGCACCTTCTGTACTGGGGCACATTGTTCTGTGTTGGATTAGATATTGTTCACGCCTCTATCCTGCAGTGTCTTCTTGAGTTAACTGTGGACCTGTATAGTAATCAAATGGCTACAGATAATGTCTTTTCTTTTGTGAGGTGTCTTCATTTAATGCACTTCCCAGAAAGAGCCTTGCATAAGAGTTATTCTCTGTATGAAGAACTACATGGCAAAGACTTCTATGAACATAATTCTGACTTAAACCCATGAAATACTTCACCTTGAGAAGAGTGCTGTGTGAAGGTCACCAAATAGTCCACAACTTTGTTTCATCTGACATAGATCTGAACATCAACATAGGAGTACTTTCATGAGAAAATGAAGTTGTAAACACAGAAGCAAAGAGAAACGTGACTCTTCCTATTTTAAACTACAGATGGACTCGATTTAAGGGAATGGGAGAACAGCTTTGGTGCTAAGTTAATTAGAGATTGCTGGTATTCACAGTGGTGTACTAGCCTGGCTGGCTTGCTGAAATGTTTACCTGGGAGAGCTGGCATTTGCTTGTGAAGGGAAAGAATAATACTCAGAAAAGTCCTGTGGAATGACCATGTGGTCAGTTTCATGGTGATGGCTCCTGTGTGCTGTTTTGGTTAGCTGGGATCATGATTGGCCCAGCTCAGAGTGCATGCTTTGTTCAAACTCAGCCTGGTTCACATGACTTCCGCTTCATGTGAGATGCTCTGTAAAGTCCCCATATCCCATGAAGCAGTGAAAGAGGAGCAGAGATGCCTCTGAACTGCAGGAGAAAAGGCAGAGTGCCAGGCAGTATCCTGTTGAGGGTGTAAACTCGTTTACTATAGATAAGTTTTCCTTTGAATTAAATTCTAGAGTGTCAGGCTTTTTTTTTTTAAATAACTGTTATTCCTAAGCCAAATTTAGTTTTTAGGGTTTTTTTCCCCCATAACTTATTCTTACCTTCCAACTTCAAACATCTATGTGACATTTAGACTTCACAAAAAGTTTGTGTGATACAGACGTGTTCTTGAGGCTGGTGGCAAATCCTTTTTGGAAGCAAGACCCTTCAAATAGTTGGCTCAGGCCATTTTAAGGACAGAGGCTCTGCCTGGTCCTCCTGGTGCTGTGAGTCACATTGGCAGTTTCTTGTGAAGCTCATGAAACTTTAAATTAAAGAATGAGTTTAGCAAGTGTTTGGTCTTACAGCTTCCTCAGTAAGGTCTTATAGCCCCAGTGGTCAAGGGCCAAGAATAGAAACTTGATCTGACGTTTTACCATGAAAATTAGGTTCTAGGCTCTTCTTTACCTGAGTGAACTTTTAATCTGCGAGAGACTGACTGCAGCAGAGGTGGATTTGAAGAAGCCAGACCTTGACCAAAGATGCTGAAGTACAACATTAGGACATTTCTACTCTAGAACCTCCTTCACAGTGGTGTGAGACCATGCCATCACTGATGCCATGCTCATGCTAGCATGCAGGAGGATGCCATCTATCTCTTTCAGCCTCTTACTAGAGAAGGTTATGCTAGAGGCAATGATTGCCAGTCACATGGCTAACAGGCATTGGAAACAGCCGTAGCTTCTTTAAGAGCCATTTCCTTTCCCAGTAGTGGACCAAGGCCGCCATGGGACTCTGCTGAACCAATAAAACCGTACTAACAAATGTTTAGATTCTGGTGTAGCCAGAGCTTCTCCGCAGTGGCTGAAGTTGTCGTTTCCTCTTCTCTTTTGTGTGATCATCACAGATGCCATTTCTGTTTAGTGATGATTATAGAGACTTTTAATACATAAATGAACGGGTATTGGTGCCTCTTTATTTTTAAAAAATTGAAGAAAAAGAGCCACCTCATATTCAGAGAGTATGTGTTTTGTGAGTGTGTGAGCATTTAATTGAAAATAAGTAAGGAAGTAAATTTTTCGTTTTACTTTTTCCACAGCAGCTAATGTGTGGGGAGACATTAAACCCACACCAAATCATGTGGGGATGGGGATCCCCCAGTCATCCTCTCCAGGTAGCCAGTCCCATAGACTGTGCAGCTCAGATTCCTTATTTTTATGCTGTGTATTGTTTCCACCTCAGTGATGGCAGCCTTTAGGACAGTGTCAAAAGCCAAGAGCTCTTGGATTATCTGCACATTTCTAGCTGCTGGTATACTACACAAGCCCTCTGGTTTCCCAGCCCAACCTCTCAGTAAGTAGACTGACAACGATGTTGTCCGTCTCTTCAGTCCTCCGACTCAGGTTATCTTCAGGGAAGGTATGGAGATGTGGCTTGTTCAGTTCATCTCTAGGATGTGTATGGTGAAGACAAACCAAATACTTTTCACCATTGAACTGTCTGTACATTATCTTACAGTAGAATACTGTGGTCTTGGGGAACACAGAGAGGGAATATGTAGCAAGGATCACATACAAAGCTTGGTGTTTCATAAGCCTGCAGCGGACAGGTTATATGTGGTACTGCAGTGTTCACCATAAGCAGGTACAAGCTTCATTAACTTTCCATTCTGAATTACAATTGAGTAGATACCAAAAACAGAGTGGCAAATGTATTTTAGTAGCAGGCGAGGCAGTTAGTTTTAGGGCGAATTTTCCGCTGTTGATTTTACTTCAAGATGTAGCAAGAGAAAATTTTTTAAGGCATTTTTAAGCTGTAGCAGGCATATGCTTCATTTATTTCCAAAGAGGAAAAAGCAGCTAAGACTCAGCATGTGCTTCGCTCCATGGTATGGGTGGATACCTACACTTTCTGGTAGCCGACTTAAGCCGCTCCCACCAGGCAGGTGTGGGCTTCTGTAGGATTTAGTGCCTGAACATTTCTTTTGGGAAGGGGCTGGAGCGAATGTCCTGGGATGGGAGGGAAGCAGAAGGACACAGGAGTGCGAATGAGTGTGCATGTGTGGAAATTCCCCATCACGCCCAAAGCCAGCAAGCAACCGCTGCTGGCCCTGTTCCATTCATGACCGCAGCGCGCATGTACGTCACCGTGTTTTCTAACCCACACTAAGAACTCATCAGATGATCTTGCTCAGATGGCTCAGGATTGTATTTCTTTGGCTTACCCCGTGCTCCTGGGTTCTATAGTGTTTCTATAATTATGAATAGTGTTGCACTGTAATCTATCATATAGAGCTATATGTATGGAAATTTTTGATCAGTTTTTTAAGAGATGTATCCTGTTTGCAAAGGCACAATAAAATTGCATCTTCTAGATTATAGGCAATAAAGGTAACAATAAACCTTACTTAAATCATACTGATACTCTCTGCTCATTTGATTTTGGGGGGGAAAAGTTAACATATCCAGTAGTTTCAGGGATCTCATTTTAACTTAAAAAATCTGATATATTTAATTTATAAATTTCGGACTGATACAATAGTTTGGAAAACTATAAGAAATGCTTTGTTAATGTGTGTATTCCTATGTAAAACATATAGCTTCTCCTGTGTATATTTTTTAAGATTAAAGAATTGCACATTTAAAAAGTGTTTGTGGAGCCAGTCTGTGATCTCGCCGGGTGACGAGTCCGGGTGGGATGTGGAGGTGCCTATTGTGAGAGGGGAAAGTCCCTGTCAGCATCTCATCGTCAGCAGTGTGGGAAGAAGAGGGGACTCTGTTCCCAAATTTGGGGGTAAGTGGGATGCACCTCAGCACTCTGGGTAAGAACAGAGGCTGAATTGTCTAACCTCAACAGGAAACACGCTCATCTGTAGAGAACAAGAACCTGTGTTCCTTTTTCTAGTTTTTAAAGAGATTGAGATTGTTACCAAGGGAATATCTTGTCTCGTGAGATGACCTGGAAGAGCCCTAGAGTTAGCCTGAGTGCTGGACAGTCTCTCAGAGCAGAATCTTGCCACCATAGTTTGCTTTTCCTTGGTGTCTGTCCTAGTTGGTTCTCTGTTACAAACACCATGGCCGAAAGCAACTTGCCCATAAGCCACTCAGTTCTTGATTAGGGTTTCTTCTTCACATTGACAAAACTAACTAGTACAGAATCACTGAAGAAAGAGCCCTAAATAAGCACTACCTTTTAGTTGACTTAAACATTGCTAATTGGGGGTGGTGTTACATATCTAGGTAATATTAGCAGCTTCCAACTCTGTGGAGAATACCTTTGCCACATTATGGTAACAGTTGCTACCTTGGGTGAAGGGCGTGACTGCCAGAAACAGTGGCTGTACTTGAACCTGTGGGTGTCTGACGCTGATGAAGTTGCTGAAAATGCTTGACATCTCTTCCTTCACACTGCATCTGTTTTGTTTTGTGTTAACCTTTGGGTTGGGTCAGATTCTACGTGGCTGTGTATGTAGACATGTTGACCATTTGAGAAATGACCAGTTATGTTACAATGCAGGGTTAGCCCAGACTAGACTTGCCTGGTTTCTCCCTGCCAACTCCCACTGAAGACTAATGACACCTACCAGTCACCATGACTTGCCTGGTTTCTCCCTGCCAACTCCCACTGAAGACTAATGACACCTACCAGTCACCATGACAAAACAGGCCATGACAGCAGTAAAAAAAAAAAAAAAAAAAAAAAAAGACCTGGAGAGATGGCTCAGTGATGAAGAGTGTTCGCTGCTCTTACAGAGAAACAGCCACATGGTGGCCACAACCATCTGTTACTCTAGTTCCTGGGTATCTCATGCCCTCTTCTGACGACTTTGGCATCAGGCATACGTGTGGTGCACATACATACATGCAGGCAGAACACTCATTAGAGAGTAACAGTTGAATTCCTAAGAGATCCCCCGACCTTGCTGAGAAGACATGAATGTCCATCCCCTCGGGCCCTCTCCCTTTATCTGCAGCTCCTATAAGTCCAGGAGTGTGAAAGCTGAGTCATTCTGTGGCCACTGAGCAGATCCTTTCTACCCAACACTCATCTCTCAAACTTCAGTTTCCTATGGGATACGCTTTGGGGCCTGCATCTGATAGCAATGTCTGAAAGGCAGTGTAGGTCCCTCCCAGATAGCAGTGTCTGAAGGGCAGTGTAGGTCCTCCCAGATAGCAGTGTCTGAAGGGCAGTGTAGGTCCCTCCAGGCACATTTGGAACTCGCCATCCTGGGGCTCTGAGATCCCCAGGCATAAGTGTGTTTACTAGGAAGGGTGGTTACTCTTAATCTTGGGAAGTGATAAAAATGGGGAGACCCTGGACACTGGAGAGATGACTGTGGTTAAGAACACTTGATTCTCCTCTGGAGGACCCTAGTGAAGTTTCCAGCACCCATATCAGTGTTCAGTATCTTGATGCCACATTAGAGAATAACTGATTCTCTTGGAGTAGTTTAAACCAGGAGCCCGAATTTGAATTCTCTACTTCTCTGTCTTCAGTCTGTAACAAAAGGCTTGGCGGTATTTTATTGAACAGCATGGAAAACATGGTATGAGAAAGAGAAGAGGAATCACTTAATCATTTTTTCTTAACACTCACAAGGGAAGACGTTACTTTATGGTCCCTGTTGACCCAGACTGTCACTCAGAGTCACAAACCAGATTACTTCTAACAACAGGTTACGGCCGGGGACTTCCAGTGTTTATGGTGCATTCTTGCTTGTTTTTAAGTTTCTTTCAACTTCATTGGCTCCTTTCAGCAAATGATCACACACACACACACACACACACACACGTCATGGGCATGGAAGATATAGTTTTAAGATTAAAGCTTTGTATTTAGTTTAGGCTGTAAAAGCTGATAACACGTAAGTCCCATGCATAACAAAGTCAGCTGTGTTATTTTTTTGAAGGCTAGTTAAACCGAAGCAGGCTTGATCACAGGCATTTTGTCTGTTTTTGAGATACGATTTCTTGTTTGACTATCCTTTAACTAGCTCTGTAGAGAAGGCTGTTCTCATACTCACAGAAATCAGCCTGCCTCTGCCTCCTGAGAGCAGCAGGAATTAAAGGCTTGCACCACCAGGCTCACAGGCACATTTCAACTTGTTTGGAAAATCAGGTGAAAGCTCAGTTTCTGAAGGCAAGAGGTATTTTTGGGGGGCGGGGAGCCATCCCCACAGTCAACAACCACTTGTAACTCCAGCTCTGGTGAGGGTGAGGGGGGCACATCAAGGCACTTATACAGTACAATGAAAAAAATGCTGGGGAGACCCAATCAACATGACATTTCTTGTGAGAAGTTCAGTAAAGCTCACTTCTTCGTTATCTTGTCCTGGAAGCATGGCTCTAGCCTGTTCAGGATCTCGTCCTGGAAGCATGGCTCTAGCCTGTTCAGGAAGTCTATAGATGCATATTTCTTCTGGGATAGGGAGTATTACTACATTGTACAAGTGGGTTACCAAGAAACAAAGTCACTTGCAAGAGAATATACAAATAACAGAACTGTGAAGCATGGTTCACACTTGTAACCCCTGCTATTGTCACCATTAGTCTCTTTTGTGGAAATGGTCGGCTACAGTTTTGGAAATTGGTAAGTGCTGCCTCAGGTCCTCAAACCACTGGCAGGATTTGAACACGTGCAGGAGGAGCAGCTGGGAGAAAAAGGAGCTGACTCGGACCCACTCACTGGGCAATGGTTCAGGGAATTTCTAGGCAAGCACCTACCAACTGAGCTGTTTTCCCAGAAGACTCAAGGGCTCTCCAAAAACGTGGAAGACTCTCTTCAAAGCAATTTAACAGCTAGAGAAAAAATTTTCTTTCTCTGATGTGTTGTGGGATATTTGAGCAAACTGTAAAGATGTGTCCCTGTTTAACCTTGCTTAGTTTAATAAAGAGCTGAATGGCCAAATAGCTAGACAGGAGAGGTTAGGTGGTACTTCCGGGCAGAGATTGGAACTCTCCGAAGAAGAGGTGGATTTCACCAGCTAAACATGGAGAGTTGGATATATAGAATGGAGGAGAGGTAAAGAGCCACGTGACAGAATGTGGATTAATAGAAATTGAGACTCACTAGGCCTGGCTTGAGCTTCTGAGACTTCAAAGCACACCCTCCGCCCCCCAACCCCACTTCCTCCACAGGGCTGCGCCTACTCCAATGCAGCCACACCGCCCAGTAGTACTTCTCCCTGTGAGCCTGTGGGACCACTTTTCATCCAAACCACAGAGCATCTAAGCCGAAAACTGAAGAGAAAATATACAGGGACGGCGCACACGTACATGCGCGCACATTTTATTTATTGAAAAATAAAAAGACATTCCTTAAAAATCCTTTGAGTCTCCAGAATTTTTTTTTTTTTTTTTGATTTTTCGAGACAGGGTTTCTCCGTAGCTTTTGGTTCCTGTCCTGGAACTAGCTCTTGTAGACCAGGCTGGCCTCGAACTCACAGAGATCCGCCTGCCTCTGCCTGGGATTAAAGGCGTGCGCCACCATCGCCCAGCGAGTCTCCAGAATTCTAATAGAGCTTCTGAGACAAGTGTGAGTCCGGAAAAGCCCACGCCCATACTAAGTGTGCATTTCCTTTCTCTAAGCACACATCTTTTCTGCTAACCCTTCAAGCTTATATCTATGTTAAAATCGCTTCCAAATAAACACTAACTGTGCTTTATACCAGCCTGTCTTGACATTCTCTGCAGCGAAGTCAGGAACACTGACTTCACAACGGGTGAGATGGCTCAGCAAGTGATCGCTTGCCGCCACACCGGACAGCCTGAGTTCAATCCATGGGTCCCATGTGGTGGAAGGAGAGAGTCAACTCCCCAAATCCTTTAAGTTGTCCTCTGACCAACACAACGACACAGTGCATGCACACACATGCACACAGCGGGGCGGGGGGAGGTACCAAAATAGGTTGGTTGGTTTGGGGCTAACCTGAACAACATGGTTCAGTGGTAGAACATGTAGTCACTGTGTGAGACTAGGTTCAGCCCCTACCAGGGGGCCTGGGAGGAGAAGACAGGTTTGTGTAGTGGCTGGTGCCACTTCTGGGCATGGGGGTGTTCTTACTCTGTGACGAACACTCAGGACTTGTATGCCCCCCCCGACCCCAGTATGTATATTTTATCTCAGCAAAAAAGTGAAGATTTTGCCTGATGGTAGGAGAATTGTCATCTCATCTGTCACCAAGAGAAAATAAAAAGGCAACAGAGAAGTTGATCATTTTGACTGATGTGATAATGGTACAGAGTGAAGGAGGACACTGACTTGATAATTTTGCTTTCAGGTATATACCCTAAAGGCATGCCCGGGCTGAGGGTTGTAGCTCAGTTGGTAGGATGTGTGTGTGGTACATAGCCTCAGCAGCACATAAACGGCGTGACGGCACACACCTAGAATCCCAGCACTGGGGACGTGATGACAGAAATTTGAGATCATCTTCAACTATGTAGGGACTTCGAATCTAGCGTGTACATGACACCCTTTCTTGAACAGCAAAAACAGTAAACACACTGCAAAGATGTGTGCAAAGTTTAGTAGTGTAAAAATAGGAGGAAGTTAGAAGCAATAAGCTAAATAGTAAATGGAGCACAACCAAAATATGAGATACCATTTAACCATTAAATGATATGTTTATTTACTAAAGCCACTTCA